TCAAGCCACAACACAACGAAATCAGGCCACAACACAACGAAATCAAGCCACAACACAACGAAATCAGGCCACAACACAACGAAATCAGGCCACAACACAACGAAATCAAGCCACAACACAACGAAATCAGGCCACAACACAACGAAATCAAGCCACAACACAACGAAATCAGGCCACAACACAACGAAATCAGGCCACAACACTACGAAATCAAGCCACAACACAACGAAATCAGGCCACAACACAACGAAATCAAGCCACAACACAACGAAATCAAGCCACAACACAACGAAATCAGGCCACAACACAACGAAATCAGGCCACAACACAACGAAATCAAGCCACAACACTACGAAATCAAGCCACAACACAATGAAATCAAGCCACAACACAACAAGCCACAACACAACGAAATCAGGCCACAACACAACGAAATCAAGCAAGCCACAACACAACAAAATCAGGCCACAACACAACGAAATCAAGCCACAACACAACAAGCCACAACACAACGAAATCAGGCCACAACACAACGAAATCAAGCAAGCCACAACACAACGAAATCAGGCCACAACACTACGAAATCAAGCCACAACACAACGAAATCAGGCCACAACACAACGAAATCAAGCAAGCCACAACACAACGAAATCAGGCCACAACACAACGAAATCAAGCCACAACACTACGAAATCAGGCCACAACACAACGAAATCAGGCCACAACACAACGAAATCAAGCCACAACACAACGAAATCAAGCCACAACACAACGAAATCAGGCCACAACACAACGAAATCAAGCCACAACACAACGAAATCAGGCCACAACACAACGAAATCAGGCCACAACACAATGAAATCAAGCCACAACACTACGAAATCAGGCCACAACACAACGAAATCAAGCCACAACACAACGAAATCAGGCCACAACACAACGAAATCAAGCCACAACACAACGAAATCAGGCCACAACACAACGAAATCAAGCCACAACACAACGAAATCAGGCCACAACACAACGAAATCAGGCCACAACACAACGAAATCAGGCCACAACACAATGAAATCAAGCCACAACACTACGAAATCAGGCCACAACACAACGAAATCAGGCCACAACACAACGAAATCAGGCCACAACACAACGAAATCAAGCCACAACACAACGAAATCAAGCCACAACACAACGAAATCAGGCCACAACACAACGAAATCAAGCCACAACACTACGAAATCAAGCCACAACACTACGAAATCAGGCCACAACACAACGAAATCAGGCCACAACACAACGAAATCAGGCCAGAACACAACGAAATCAAGCCACAACACAACGAAATCAAGCCACAACACAACGAAATCAGGCCACAACACAACAAAATCAAGCCACAACACAACGAAATCAGGCCACAACACAACGAAATCAGGCCACAACACAACGAAATCAAGCCACAACACAACAAAATCAGGCCACAACACAACAAAATCAAGCCACAACACAACGAAATCAGGCCACAACACAACGAAATCAGGCCACAACACAACGAAATCAAGCCACAACACAACGAAATCAGGCCACAACACAACGAAATCAAGCCACAACACAACGAAATCAAGCCACAACACAACGAGATCAGGCCACAACACAACGAAATCAGGCCACAACACAACGAAATCAGGCCACAACACAACGAAATCAAGCCACAACTAGGCTTGGGAATCGGTTCCAGGTTCCGGTTTGGAACCGGTTCCAAACGTTCCGATCCATCCGAATTGTACACGTCCACACGTTAACGATTCCACTAACGATTCCGAATGTTCCGTTCCATCCATTCCCGCGTCGCGGCATGACGTTACAGTATGCGACTGGATTGTTAAATCCCCCAAAAGCGCGATGGCTACGAGACGATCGAGAGTGTGGCTTCATTTTAAATGCAGACCGGGGGAAGCAAATCTGGGCGACACAACCCCTCCCGTCATTTCAGCTCCAATGACGGCATCAAAACAATGAAAGCATGGCGAAGCGGCTCTCCACGGCTCTGCTTTCGTCGGCGAAAAAGTTAAGAAACTCGACGCTATAAGCCCTCAGTACCGAGCCGAGCAGTTCGCACGTGACTTTTATGCAGTGTTTCCCACACATAGACTAATTCGCGGCCACAAAATCAACTCCGGCCGCCACATATTGCGTTTCGTTCATTTTTTATGCTATTTAAAACACGCAGCGTATTCTTTCCGTTGTATTTCCTTTCCCCGCTTTCCCTCCGTCTCTCTATCACTCACGCGTCTCTCTCACATACACGCACATACACACACACACACCGCGTCTGTCTATGAGGCGCCGGACTGGACAAAAGCGAAGCAAACTCAGCGAGCGACACTGGGCGAGAGAGAGACAGAGTGTGACTTTTATTTAAACTTATATAAACTAATATAATTTATTTTACTGGACAGTTTAAAGCTCATAACCATATTTTGTTGTTACTTGAAGAGTGCAGTGTCATGTGGCATCATGCAGTATTTGTCCTGAAACTTTAAACTTTAAAAGCACACTCTTTTTATGACTAAAATAACAGTAAAGGGTAAAAAAAATGAATTCCCAAAAATTAAAACGGAAAAAACGGAATTTGGGAAAAATAAAACGGAATTTGGGAAAAAATAAAACTGATTTCATAGGGCCCTAGATATTGCACACTTGGTTTTCATTCTCTAAAACCACTTAGACATTCAAAGCCAACAACTCTCAAAGCCACCCTTTAAGTGTTCAGCAAATGGTACAGGAATCGATATGGGAATCGATAAGGAATCGCATCGATAAGCAGACTCGACAATGGCAACGATATCGATAATTTCTTAACGATGCCCATCCCTAGCCACAACACAACGAAATCAGGCCACAACACTACGACCCGACCACCAGAGGGCTCTCGGAGCGCGGTAAAGTTAGTCTTCCTTGCCACTGTTCTATAGAGTCGGCAGTCTTACAAAGATATCAATACCACGATTAGTTTTAACAGTACGTAAGCATTGTATATCGACATTAAATATGAATTCAAAACCACCTACGTGCATTATAGCAGCGCATTATACTCGAGAATGCTTTAACGCACTACCACAGCGCATGATGCCTAAGGGAACGTCTGCCAATTCCACCAAGTGGTTCGAACGTATCTCATCCAAAAGATCTTGATTTGTGTCCCGAAGATGAAGGAAAGCCTTACGGGTTTGGAGTGACATGAGTGCGAGTGCATGGTTCAGTGTGTCCCTGTGCGGTTGAAGCGATCTGCTGCAGTAATGATGTGCCTCTCTCAGCTTGAGCGTGTCGACGCTGTCGCGCGCCGCGGTGGCGCTGGAGCGTGTGCGAGTGCAGGTGTTTAAAGGGCTGGTGTCGGTGCTGCTGGCTGGCGTTCGGGCCGAGAGACGGGTTCTCGGGGTTGTGCACGGGCAGATCGTGGGCATGGAGGGGAAGGTCCAGGAGGATCACGTGGCTCGGATGAAGGCGCTCGCTGCTCAGTGTAACCTGGAGACGCAGGAGCAGATCGAGTCCCTGCAGCGCAAACACACCAGCGAAGCGGCGCACGCAGAACGACTGCTTCAACACGCGCCGCAGCAACAGGTGATATAGCATGTGATCTTTGGTGTCGTGTCTCATGTCAAGTCAAGTCACCTTCATTTATATAGCGCTTTTAACAATATAGATTGTTTCAAAGCAGCTTTACAGTGATTTTAACGTAACCGAGATTGTTTTGGCTTTACAGCAGCTCTAGAATAAAGTTATTGTCCAGCTAAAGTTAGTTTTGATTGATTCACTTCCGTTGTAAAGATCATTAGTTATTAACTTAGGGGCCGCTAACACGACACCATTTTAACATTAAACCCTAAATGTGTTCCGGCTCATTCGCACGACAACAGTGTTTAGAGCTCGAGAACGCACTCCCTGAGTGCAAGCATTGAAACATTTTGAAAAACATTATCATCTCTGCGCAAGCCCCAAAAACACGAACCTGTGAAAACACTGACGGCGTGCACATGCGTATTACATGTTTAGTCTATAGGTATGCGCGTTTTAATATATATGTGCGCAGGCGTGGAGTCTTTCTTTACAAATTGACCCCACCAAATTACTTGTCTGGCCTTAAAAATTCATAATACAGATTTTTTTGTCGCTTCCACGTTTTCATGTGAACTGGAATCATGTGTCAAGGATCATCAGGATGTCCGGGCTCTGCTGGAGGAGCTTCATCAGCGGGAGCAGAAGCGTCTGCAGAAGCGGCTCCGGGTCCGGCATGAACACGCGTCTGCGCAGACACTGAGACAGCAGACGCTGAGCCGGCGGTTTGAGCTGCACAAGATCCTGGGCGAGGAGCTGGAGGAGGCCGTCAGAACAGGAGAGCTGGAGAAAACCTCAGCCAACACACTCCTGCTGCAGTACTACAGCTGTCAGGTGATGATCTGTGTGAGTGTGTGTGTGTGTGAGTATGAGTATGAGTATGAGTATGAGTATGAGTATGAGTATGAGTATGAGTGTGAGTGTAAGAGTGTAAGAGTGAGCGTGTGAGTGACTGTCAGTGTGAGTGTGAGAGTGAGAGTGAGAGTGAGAGTGAGAGTGAGTGTGAGAGTGAGTGTGAGTGTGAGTATGAGTGAGTGTGTGTGAGTGAGTGAGAGTGTGAGAGTGAGTGTGAGTGTGTGTGAGTGTGAGAGTGAGTGAGTGTGTGTGTGTGTGTGTGTGTGTGTGTGTGTGTGTGTGTGTGTGTGAGTGTGTGTGTGAGTGAGTGAGAGTGTGAGATTGAGTGTGAGTGTGTGTGTGAGAGAGAGTGAGTATGAGTGAGTGTGAGAGTGAGTGTGAGAGTGAGAGTGAGTGTGTGTGTGAGTGAGTGAGAGTGTGAGAGTGAGTGTGAGTGTGAGTGTGTGTGTGTGTGTGAGTGAGAGTGAGTGTGAGAGTGAGAGTGTGTGTGTGTGTGTGTGAGTGTGAGAGTGAGAGTGAGTGAGTGTGAGTATGAGTGAGTGTATGAGTGAGTGTGTGTGTGAGTGAGTGAGTGTGTGTGTGAGTGTGTGTGTGAGTGAGTGAGAGTGTGAGATTGAGTGTGAGTGTGTGTGTGAGTGAGAGAGTGAGTGTGAGAGTGAGTGAGTGTGAGTATGAGTGAGTGTGTGTGTGTGTGTGTGTGTGTGAGTGAGTGTGTGAGTGAGTGTGTGTGTGAGTGAGTGAGTGTGAGTGTGTGTGTGTGTGTGTGTGTGTGTGTGTGAGTGAGTGTAAGAGTGAGTGACTGAGAGTGTGTGTGTGTCAGTGTGTGAGTGAGTGTGTTCGCTGTGTGTGTGTGTGTGTGTGGGGGGGGGGGGGGTCCATCTTGTTACACTTGTGGTATTTCCAGTCACAAATTGTATGTCTTTAGCTTATTTTCCATAATTTATTTGAACATGTAGTTCATATTTGTAAATACTATTTTTTTAGGTGGTTTAAAATCTGTCCGTCGTAGTTCATGTTATTATTTTAATATTTATGCAATAAACTCATAGCGTTTAATCTCTAAATCTGTACAATCAGTACCAACAAATCATTAAAACAATATATAAATGTGTTTATATCCGCCCCAGGATGTTCTGGAGGAGGGGCTTGATGTCCTTCTGGCCAATCAGAGAGCACTGCTGGCCGAGCGACACGCGCAGCGCCGCTTCCTGGCGAAGAGTATACAGAGTCTTCAGACCGTGACGAGCGAAGCCTTCAGCAGAGACACACACAGGTCGAACACACACCACACACACACGTGAGATACACACACACACACACTCACTCACTCACACACACGTGAGATTCACTCACTCACTCACTCACTCACTCACTCACTCACACACACACACACACACACACACACACACACACACACACACACACACACACACACACACACACACACACACACACACACACCACATACAACGCTTCTGTGTCTATGCCTGTGTAATCTTCCCTTTAGCAGACGTGTGTGTTTGTGTGAGCAGAGAGTGTTCTGATGTTCAGCGGGAGATTCTGCGCGTCAAACAGAGTTTAGAAGAAACAGTGTGTCGTGAGCGGAGAGCCATCCGCTGTGACATCATCAAGAGGAGACGACAGCTCCTGTCAGAGAAGGTGTGTGTGTGTGTGTGTTTAGGTGTGTGTTTGTGTGTGTGAGTGTGTGTGTATCTCACCTGTGTGTGTGTGTGTGTATCTCACCTCTGTGTGTGTGTGTGTGCTATATTTAACTATATTTTGGGGACAAATTTGTACCCAGAAGTGACCCTAACCTGACAAAATATCCAAAAACCTCCATTTAGGGACGTCCTCGTCCTCATATGTAAATCTGGTATAAATTAAATTTTACTTTAAAAATGCAGAAAGTTTTGTGTGATGGGTAGGTTTAGGGGTTGGGTTAGTGTGTGTGCGTGTGTGTGTGTGTGTGTGTGTTTCTGTTTATATTACATTGTGGGGACCAAATGACCCCACAAGTATAGTAAAACCTGAGATCACCTACATTGTGGGGCCCAGCCAGCGGTCCCCATGAGGAAAACAGCGTATAAATCATACTAAGTAATGTTTTTTGAAAATGTAAAAATGCAGAAAGTTGTGTGTGATGGGCAGGTTTAGGGATAGGGGCAGTGTGTGTGTGTGTGATGGGCAGGTTTAGGGATAGGGGCAGTGTAAGGGGACAGAATATACAGTTTGTACAGTATAAAAATCATTACGCCTATGGAGATATGTGGTCCCCACAAGTATAGCAAAACAAACCTGTGTGTGTGTGTGTGTGTGTGATGGGCAGGTTTAGAGGTCGGGGTAGTGAGTGTGTGTGTGTGTGTGTGTGTGTGTGTGTGTGTGTGTGTGTGTGTGTGATGGGCAGGTTTAGGGGTCGGGGTAGTGTGTGTGTGTGTGTGTGTGTGTGTGATGGGCAGGTTTAGGGGTCGGGGTAGTGAGTGTGTGAGTGTGTGTGTGTGTGTGATGGGCAGGTTTAGGGGTCGGGGTAGTGAGTGTGTGAGTGTGTGTGTGTGTGTGATGGGCAGGTTTAGGGGTCGGGGTAGTGTGTGTGAGAGTGTGTGTGATGGGCAGGTTTAGGGGTCGAGGTAGTGTGTGTGAGAGTGTGTGTGATGGGCAGGTTTAGGGGTCGGGGTAGTGTGTGTGAGAGTGTGTGTGATGGGCAGGTTTAGGGGTCGAGGTAGTGTGTGTGAGAGTGTGTGTGATGGGCAGGTTTAGGGGTCGGGGACAGAATATACAGTTTGGACAGTATAAAAACCATTACGTCTATGGAATGTCCCTGTGTGTGTGTGTGTTTAGGTGTATGTGAGTGTGTATTTCACCTGTGTGTGTGTGTGTGTGTGTGTTTAGGTGTATGTGAGTGTGTATTTCACCTGTGTGTGTGTGTGTGTGTGTGTGTGTGTGTGTTTAGGTGCATGTGAGTGTGTATTTCACCTGTGTGTGTGTGTGTGTGTGTTTAGGTGCATGTGAGTGTGTATTTCACCTGTGTGTGTGTGTGTGTGTGTGTGTGTGTGTGTGTGTGTGTGTGTGTGTGTGTGTTTAGGTGCATGTGAGTGTGTATTTCACCTGTGTGTGTGTGTTTAGGTGTGTGAACACTGGCGTCAGCTGCAGGCCGTCTCTGCTTCCTCTGACGTCACAGTGAATCAGTACCTGCAGAAATGGACTGAACTGCTGATGATGCAGAACAATGAACTATCAGATCTCATCAATCACCTGGACGAGGAGACGGCGGCCCGAGCACGCAAGGTGCTGAAGAACACACACCTCACACACGATACACACTAAAGATCATGTAGTGCTCTGCTTCAGGTGAGTGAGGACTGAGGGAACGCGGCTGTCGTCCGCTAGGATTAAATGCAGAAATAGCGTAATGACGTAGAAATAGCGTAATGACGTAGAAATAGCGCAATGACGTAGAAATAGCGTAATGACGTAGAAATAGCGTAATGACGTAGAAATAGCGTTATGGCGTAGAAATAGCGTAATGACGTAGAAATAGCGTTATGGCGTAAAAATAGCGTTATGACGTAGAAATAGCGTAATGATGTAGAAATAGTGTAATGACGTAGAAATAGCGTTATGGCGTAGAAATAGCGTAATGACGTAGAAATAGCGTTATGGCGTAGAAATAGCGTAATGACGTAGAAATAGCGTTATGGCGTAGAAATAGCGTAATGACGTAGCAATAGCGTAATGACGTAGAAATAGCGTAATGACGTAGAAATAGTGTAATGACGTAGAAATAGCGTAATGACGTAGAAATAGCGTAATGGCGTAGAAATAGCGTAATGACGTAGAAATAGCGTTATGGCGTAGAAATAGCGTAATGACGTAGAAATAGCGTTATGGCGTAGAAATAGCGTAATGACGTAGAAATAGCGTAATGACGTAGAAATAGCGTAATGACGTAGAAATAGCGGAATGACGTATGACGCGCTGAACGAGCTGTTGTTCCTGATGAATAAAGTGTCGTATAAACAAGTTTCCCGTAATTCTATAATCCTCGTTCTCGGCGTGTGTGTGTGAAGTGGAGCCGGACGATGGCCACCAGTGCCGCTTCAGACTCTCACACACACACCACTGGGTTTGGGCAGTTTTACTGTGTGATGAATATAAGCAGCGCCTCATTCGCTCATACGCTCATGTCTCCTAATTATGACCAGAGACGGATAAATATTAAGTCTGCTGTTTAAACAAATAAAGAACCAGTGTAGGAGAATAGTTATTATGCGCAGACAGCAGAAACTCTGTATATTCGTGCAGTGTGCGCATGTCAAAAAAATAAAAACAAAACGATTTGAAGCTTGTGACATAAACTCGCACATTAACGCGATCACGTTCAGCGTTCATGTAAACACTAATAGTAAACTTCATTAATACATTCAGATTCATCAATCGGAATTAATTTAGTCCGATTGAAACAGAAGTTGTGCATGTAAACACTGCCACTGTGTTGTGTGCAGGTGAGTGTGTGTGTGCTGCAGACGGCGCTGGCGCAGCTGAAGGCTCGTTCGCAGACGCAGGCGGTTCAGGAGAGTCTGCAGAGGCGGGGTCAAGCGGCGGCCCGAGAGCTGAGATCCACTCAGAGCCTCATCAGACAGCAGCATCAGCAGGAGCTCCAGGACCAGACCCGCTCCAGAGACGCCTTCAGACAATACTGCAGGTTACTAACACACTACACTTCATCAATACTGCAGGTTACTAACACACTACACTTCATCAATACTGCAGGTTACTAACACACTACACTTCATCAATACTGCAGGTTACTAACACACTACGCTTCATCAATACTGCAGGTTACTAACACACTACACTTCATCAATACTGCAGGTTACTAACACACTACACTTCATTAATACTGCAGGTTACTAACACACTACACTTCATCAATACTGCAGGTTACTAACACACTACACTTCATCAATACTGCAGGTTACTAACACACTACACTTCATTAATACTGCAGGTTACTAACACACTACACTTCATCAATACTGCAGGTTACTAACACACTACACTTCATTAATACTGCAGGTTACTAACACACTACACTTCATCAATACTGCAGGTTACTAACACACTACACTTCATCAATACTGCAGGTTACTAACACACTACACTTCATCAATACTGCAGGTTACTAACACACTACACTTCATTAATACTGCAGGTTACTAACACACTACACTTCATCAATACTGCAGGTTACTAACACTCTACACTTCATCAATACTGCAGGTTACTAACACTCTACACTTCATCAATACTGCAGGTTACTAACACACTACACTTCATCAATACTGCAGGTTACTAACACTCTACACTTCATCAATACTGCAGGTTACTAACACTCTACACTTCATCAATACTGCAGGTTACTAACACACTACACTTCATCAATACTGCAGGTTACTAACACTCTACACTTCATCAATACTGCAGGTTACTAACACACTACACTTCATCAATACTGCAGGTTACTAACACTCTACACTTCATCAATACTGCAGGTTACTAACACACTACACTTCATCAATACTGCAGGTTACTAACACACTACACTTCATCAATACTGCAGGTTACTAACACACTACACTTCATCAATACTGCAGGTTACTAACACACTACACTTCATCAATACTGCAGGTTACTAACACACTACACTTCATCAATACTGCAGGTCACTAACACACTACACTTCATTAATACTGCAGGTTACTAACACACTACACTTCATCAATACTGCAGGTCACTAACACACTACGCTTCATCAATACTGCAGGTTACTAACACACTACACTTCATCAATACTGCAGGTTACTAACACACTACACTTCATCAATACTGCAGGTTACTAACACACTACACTTCATCAATACTGCAGGTTACTAACACACTACACTTCATTAATACTGCAGGTTACTAACACACTACACTTCATCAATACTGCAGGTTACTAACACACTACACTTCATCAATACTGCAGGTTACTAACACACTACACTTCATTAATACTGCAGGTTACTAACACACTACACTTCATCAATACTGCAGGTTACTAACACACTACACTTCATTAATACTGCAGGTTACTAACACACTACACTTCATCAATACTGCAGGTTACTAACACACTACACTTCATCAATACTGCAGGTTACTAACACACTACACTTCATCAATACTGCAGGTTACTAACACACTACACTTCATTAATACTGCAGGTTACTAACACACTACACTTCATCAATACTGCAGGTTACTAACACTCTACACTTCATCAATACTGCAGGTTACTAACACTCTACACTTCATCAATACTGCAGGTTACTAACACACTACACTTCATCAATACTGCAGGTTACTAACACTCTACACTTCATCAATACTGCAGGTTACTAACACTCTACACTTCATCAATACTGCAGGTTACTAACACACTACACTTCATCAATACTGCAGGTTACTAACACTCTACACTTCATCAATACTGCAGGTTACTAACACACTACACTTCATCAATACTGCAGGTTACTAACACTCTACACTTCATCAATACTGCAGGTTACTAACACACTACACTTCATCAATACTGCAGGTTACTAACACACTACACTTCATCAATACTGCAGGTTACTAACACACTACACTTCATCAATACTGCAGGTTACTAACACACTACACTTCATCAATACTGCAGGTTACTAACACACTACACTTCATCAATACTGCAGGTTACTAACACACTACACTACATTAATACTGCAGGTTACTAACACACTACACTTCATCAATACTGCAGGTTACTAACACACTACACTTCATCAATACTGCAGGTTACTAACACACTACACTTCATCAATACTGCAGGTCACTAACACACTACACTTCATCAATACTGCAGGTTACTAACACACTACACTTCATCAATACTGCAGGTTACTAACACACTACACTTCATCAATACTGCAGGTTACTAACACACTACACTTCATCAATACTGCAGGTTACTAACACACTACACTTCATCAATACTGCAGGTTACTAACACACTACACTTCATCAATACTGCAGGTTACTAACACACTACACTTCATCAATACTGCAGGTTACTAACACACTACACTTCATCAATACTGCAGGTTACTAACACACTACACTACATTAATACTGCAGGTTACTAACACACTACACTTCATCAATACTGCAGGTTACTAACACACTACACTTCATCAATACTGCAGGTTACTAACACACTACACTTCATCAATACTGCAGGTCACTAACACACTACACTTCATCAATACTGCAGGTTACTAACACACTACACTTCATCAATACTGCAGGTTACTAACACACTACACTTCATCAATACTGCAGGTTACTAACACACTACACTTCATCAATACTGCAGGTTACTAACACACTACACTTCATCAATACTGCAGGTTACTAACACACTACACTTCATTAATACTGCAGGTTACTAACACACTACACTTCATTAATACTGCAGGTTACTAACACACTACACTTCATCAATACTGCAGGTTACTAACACACTACACTTCATCAATACTGCAGGTTACTAACACACTACACTTCATCAATACTGCAGGTTACTAACACACTACACTTCATCAATACTGCAGGTTACTAACACACTACACTTCATTAATACTGCAGGTTACTAACACACTACACTTCATCAATACTGCAGGTTACTAACACACTACACTTCATCAATACTGCAGGTTACTAACACACTACACTTCATCAATACTGCAGGTTACTAACACACTACACTTCATCAATACTGCAGGTTACTAACACACTACACTTCATCAATACTGCAGGTTACTAACACACTACACTTCATCAATACTGCAGGTTACTAACACACTACACTTCATCAATACTGCAGGTTACTAACACACTACACTTCATCAATACTGCAGGTCACTAACACACTACACTTCATCAATACTGCAGGTCACTAACACACTACACTTCATCAATACTGCAGGTTACTAACACACTACACTTCATCAATACTGCAGGTTACTAACACACTACACTTCATCAATACTGCAGGTTACTAACACACTACACTTCATCAATACTGCAGGTTACTAACACTCTACACTTCATCAATACTGCAGGTTACTAACACACTACACTTCATTAATACTGCAGGTTACTAACACTCTACACTTCATCAATACTGCAGGTTACTAACACACTACACTTCATCAATACTGCAGGTTACTAACACACTACACTTCATCAATACTGCAGGTTACTAACACACTACACTTCATCAATACTGCAGGTTACTAACACACTACACTTCATCAATACTGCAGGTTACTAACACACTACACTTCATCAATACTGCAGGTTACTAACACACTACACTTCATCAATACTGCAGGTTACTAACACACTACACTACATTAATACTGCAGGTTACTAACACACTACACTTCATCAATACTGCAGGTTACTAACACACTACACTTCATCAATACTGCAGGTTACTAACACACTACACTTCATCAATACTGCAGGTTACTAACACACTACACTTCATCAATACTGCAGGTTACTAACACACTACACTTCATCAATACTGCAGATACTGCAGGTTACTAACACACTACACTTCATCAATACTGCAGGTTACTAACACACTACACTTCATCAATACTGCAGGTCACTAACACACTACACTTCATCAATACTGCAGGTTACTAACACACTACACTTCATCAATACTGCAGGTTACTAACACACTACACTTCATCAATACTGCAGGTCACTAACACACTACACTTCATCAATACTGCAGGTTACTAACACACTACACTTCATTAATACTGCAGGTTACTAACACACTACACTTCATCAATACTGCAGGTTACTAACACACTACACTTCATCAATACTGCAGGTTACTAACACACTACACTTCATCAATACTGCAGGTTACTAACACACTACACTTCATCAATACTGCAGGTTACTAACACACTACACTTCATTAATACTGCAGGTTACTAACACTCTACACTTCATCAATACTGCAGGTTACTAACACACTACACTTCATTAATACTGCAGGTTACTAACACACTACACTTCATCAATACTGCAGGTTACTAACACACTACACTTCATCAATACTGCAGGTTACTAACACACTACACTTCATCAATACTGCAGATACTGCAGGTTACTAACACACTACACTTCATCAATACTGCAGATACTGCAGGTTACTAACACACTACACTTCATCAATACTGCAGGTTACTAACACACTACACTTCATCAATACTGCAGGTTACTAACACACTACACTTCATCAATACTGCAGGTCACTAACACACTACACTTCATCAATACTGCAGGTTACTAACACACTACACTTCATCAATACTGCAGGTCACTAACACACTACACTTCATTAATACTGCAGGTTACTAACACTCTACACTTCATCAATACTGCAGGTTACTAACACACTACACTTCATTAATACTGCAGGTTACTAACACTCTACACTTCATCAATACTGCAGGTTACTAACACTCTACACTTCATCAATACTGCAGGTTACTAACACACTACGCTTCATCAATACTGCAGGTTACTAACACACTACACTTCATCAATACTGCAGGTTACTAACACACTACACTTCATCAATACTGCAGGTTACTAACACACTACACTTCATCAATACTGCAGGTTACTAACACACTACACTTCATCAATACTGCAGGTTACTAACACACTACACTTCATCAACACTGCAGGTTACTAACACACTACACTTCATCAATACTGCAGGTTACTAACACACTACACTTCATCAATACTGCAGGTTACTAACACACTACACTTCATTAATACTGCAGGTTACTAACACACTACACTTCATCAATACTGCAGGTTACAAACACACTACACTTCATTAATACTGCAGGTTACTAACACACTACACTTCATCAATACTGCAGGTTACTAACACACTACACTTCATTAATACTGCAGGTTACTAACACACTACACTTCATCAATACTGCAGGTTACTAACACACTACACTTCATCAATACTGCAGGTTACTAACACACTACACTTCATCAACACTGCAGGTTACTAACACACTACACTTCATCAATACTGCAGGTTACTAACACACTACACTTCATCAATACTGCAGGTTACTAACACACTACACTTCATCAATACTGCAGGTTACTAACACACTACACTTCATTAATACTGCAGGTTACTAACACACTACACTTCATTAATACTGCAGGTTACTAACACACTACACTTCATTAATACTGCAGGTTACTAACACACTACACTTCATCAATACTGCAGGTTACTAACACACTACACTTCCTTAATACTGCAGGTTACTAACACACTACACTTCATCAATACTGCAGGTTACTAACACACTACACTTCATTAATACTGCAGGTTACTAACACACTACACTTCATTAATACTGCAGGTTACTAACACACTACACTTCATCAATACTGCAGGTTACTAACACACTACACTTCATCAATACTGCAGGTTACTAACACACTACACTTCATCAATACTGCAGGTTACTAACACACTACACTTCATCAATACTGCAGGTTACTAACACACTACACTTCATCAATACTGCAGGTTACTAACACACTACACTTCATCAATACTGCAGGTTACTAACACACTACACTTCATCAATACTGCAGGTTACTAACACACTACACTTCATCAATACTGCAGGTTACTAACACACTACACTTCATCAATACTGCAGGTTACTAACACACTACACTTCATCAATACTGCAGGTTACTAACACACTACACTTCATCAATACTGCAGGTTACTAACACACTACACTACATCAATACTGCAGGTTACTAACACACTACACTTCATTAATACTGCAGGTTACTAACACACTACACTTCATCAATACTGCAGGTTACTAACACACTACACTTCATCAATACTGCAGGTTACTAACACTCTACACTTCATCAATACTGCAGGTTACTAACACACTACACTTCATCAATACTGCAGGTTACTAACACTCTACACTTCATCAATACTGCAGGTTACTAACACTCTACACTTCATCAATACTGCAGGTTACTAACACACTACACTTCATCAATACTGCAGGTTACTAACACACTACACTTCATTAATACTGCAGGTTACTAACACACTACACTTCATCAATACTGCAGGTTACTAACACACTACACTTCATCAATACTGCAGGTCACTAACACACTACACTTCATCAATACTGCAGGTTACTAACACACTACACTTCATCAATACTGCAGGTTACTAACACACTACACTTCATCAATACTGCAGGTCACTAACACACTACACTTCATCAATACTGCAGGTTACTAACACACTACACTTCATCAATACTGCAGGTTACTAACACACTACACTTCATCAATACTGCAGGTTACTAACACACTACACTTCATCAACACTGCAGGTTACTAACACACTACACTTCATCAATACTGCAGGTCACTAACACACTACACTTCATCAATACTGCAGGTTACTAACACACTACACTTCATCAATACTGCAGGTTACTAACACACTACACTTCATCAATACTGCAGGTTACTAACACACTACACTTCATCAATACTGCAGGTTACTAACACACTACACTTCATCAATACTGCAGGTTACTAACACACTACACTTCATCAATACTGCAGGTTACTAACACACTACACTTCATCAATACTGCAGGTTACTAACACACTACACTTCATCAATACTGCAGGTTACTAACACACTACACTTCATCAATACTGCAGGTTACTAACACACTACACTTCATTAATACTGCAGGTTACTAACACACTACACTTCATCAATACTGCAGGTTACTAACACACTACACTTCATCAATACTGCAGGTTACTAACACACTACACTTCATCAATACTGCAGGTTACTAACACACTACACTTCATCAATACTGCAGGTCACTAACACACTACACTTCATCAATACTGCAGGTTACTAACACACTACACTTCATCAATACTGCAGGTTACTAACACTCTACACTTCATCAATACTGCAGGTTACTAACACACTACACTTCATTAATACTGCAGGTTACTAACACTCTACACTTCATCAATACTGCAGGTTACTAACACACTACACTTCATCAATACTGCAGGTTACTAACACACTACACTTCATTAATACTGCAGGTTACTAACACACTACACTTCATTAATACTGCAGGTTACTAACACACTACACTTCATCAATACTGCAGGTTACTAACACACTACACTTCATCAATACTGCAGGTTACTAACACACTACACTTAATTAATACTGCAGGTTACTAACACTCTACACTTCATCAATACTGCAGGTTACTAACACACTACACTTCATCAATACTGCAGGTTACTAACACACTACACTTCATTAATACTGCAGGTTACTAACACACTACACTTCATCAATACTGCAGGTTACTAACACACTACACTTCATCAATACTGCAGGTTACTAACACACTACACTTCATTAATACTGCAGGTTACTAACACACTACACTTCATCAATACTGCAGGTTACTAACACACTACACTTCATCAATACTGCAGGTTACTAACACACTACACTTCATCAATACTGCAGGTTACTAACACACTACACTTCATTAATACTGCAGGTTACTAACACACTACACTTCATCAATACTGCAGGTTACTAACACACTACACTTCATCAATACTGCAGGTTACTAACACACTACACTTCATTAATACTGCAGGTTACTAACACACTACACTTCATCAATACTGCAGGTTACTAACACACTACACTTCATCAATACTGCAGGTTACTAACACACTACACTTCATCAATACTGCAGGTTACTAACACACTACACTTCATTAATACTGCAGGTTACTAACACACTACACTTCATCAATACTGCAGGTTACTAACACACTACACTTCATCAATACTGCAGGTTACTAACACACTACACTTCATCAATACTGCAGGTTACTAACACACTACACTTCATCAATACTGCAGGTTACTAACACACTACACTTCATCAATACTGCAGGTTACTAACACACTACACTTCATCAATACTGCAGGTTACTAACACACTACACTTCATCAATACTGCAGGTTACTAACACACTACACTTCATCAATACTGCAGGTTACTAACACACTACGCTTCATCAATACTGCAGGTTACTAACACACTACACTTCATCAATACTGCAGGTTACTAACACACTACACTTCATCAATACTGCAGGTTACTAACACACTACACTTCATTAATACTGCAGGTTACTAACACACTACACTTCATCAATACTGCAGGTTACTAACACACTACGCTTCATTAATACTGCAGGTTACTAACACACTACACTTCATTAATACTGCAGGTTACTAACACACTACACTTCATTAATACTGCAGGTTACTAACACACTACACTTCATTAATACTCATACAGCACGGGTGATCAAAGATGCAAACAGATCAAGTGCAATAAAATAAACACTATTCTCTCCACTAGTTATGGAAGTGAAGCTGTGTAATGAAACACATCTGCTATTGTTCTAGTCGAGCGCCGGGTGTCGTTGTGTTTAGTAGAATGGGATGAAGGCAGAATCAGTGTATCTGATTAGTGTGTGTGTGTGTGTGTGTCAGCGCTCTTTGTGAGTGTCAGCGCTCTCTCTCGCATGAGCAGCGTGTGCGTCTGCAGCTGGAGTGTGTGAAGGCCGCGTGTCGTCTGGATCGATGTCTCGTGCTGCATCACACCATCTGTGAGCTTGAGCGGCTCTGTGACCCCGGCGTGACCCTCGGTGACCCCGGCGTGACCCCTGCAGGCTCAGAGACAGAGGTGAGTGTCGTACGACACAGTGTTCTTCATTCAGCTTCTCCAATAAATGAATCTTGACTTTAGAATGTTTAGATATTTGTGCTGGAAAACGAGACAGAAACACTGAGGAAGAAGATAATTTTTTCAGTGTGTGTGTGTGTGTGTGTGTGATGCGTTTCCTCTGACCTGCAGCTGCTGAGGTCATCAGAGGTCACAGAGCTGCAGTGTTTCCAGCGGCGTCTGCAGGAGAGACTGCGACGGCTGCGCAGCGACACACACAGCGACACACACAGCGACACACACAGCGACACACTGCAGAGGGTGAGAGAGACCGGCGCCGAGATCACACGATCACTCTGGTGGTTGGAGAGAGATTGCCTGATATGATTGTAAAGCAGTTTGGGTGTACAGTAGTACATATGAAAGCGCTATATAAATGCCTCATTCATTCATTCATTCATTCACTCGACATGCTTAAAGGAGTAGTTCACTTTAAGATGAAAATTACCCCATGATTTACTCTCCCTCAAGTCACCAGGTGTGTATGACTTTCTTCTTTCAGACGAATACAATCTGAGTTATATTAAAAAATCTCCTGGCTCTTCCAAGCTTTATCAGGTTGAAGCTCATAAAAGCTCACTTTCATGATGGATAGATGCACCTTTTTTTAGCTTCAATCTGATGGTTTCAATCCACTGCTATTATAAAGCTGGGAAGAGCCAGGATACTTTTTAATATAACTCAGATTGTATTCGTCTGAAAAAAGTAAGTCATACACACATGGTGACTTGAGGGAGAGTAAATCATAAGCTAATTTTCATCTTAAAGTGAACTACTCCTTTAACAGCTGCAGATGAATGAAAGACCTGTGTGTGTGTGTGTGTGTGTTGTGTGTGTGTGTGTGTGTGTGTGTGTGTGTGTGTGTGTGTGTGTGTGTGTGTGTGTGTGTGTGTGTGTGTGTGTGTGTGTGTGTGTGTGTGTGTGTGGCAGGAGGCGTGTGTGTTCCAGGAACAGCAGCTGAGTGCTTGTCAGGAGTGTGTGGCCGTGTTCGTGGCGTCGCTGCAGTGGGAACAAGCGGAGAAGAAAACAAGAGTGACGGAGACACACACAGCCCTGCTGAAACTACAGACACTCATCACTGCAGAACTGCACAGTGACATCACACACGCCATACACACACACCGCCTGGTGAGATACACACACTCACAAACACATTGTAAACTATATTATCGTCCATCTGCTTCATGAAGATATTAAGATATATTACACTGAAAAAATTTATAAACGCAACACTTTTGTTTTTGCCCCCATTTTTCATGAGCTGAACTCAAAGATCTAAGACTTTTTCTATCTATGTACACAAAAGGTCTATTTCTCTCAAATATTGTTCACAAATCTGTCTAAATCTGTGTTAGTGAGCACTTCTCCTGTGCCGAGATCATCCATCCCCCTCACAGGTGTGGCACATCAAGATGCTGATTATTGCACAGGTGTGCCTTAGGCTGGCCACAATAAAAGGTCCCTCTAAAATGTGCAGTTTTACTGTATTGGGGCAGGGGGGTTGGGTTGGGGGGGTGGTCTAAAAACCAGTCAGTATCTGGTGTGACCACCATTTGCCTCCCGCAGTGCAACACATCTCCTCTGCATAGAGTTGATCAGGTTGTTGATTGTGGCCTGTGTGATGTTGGTCCACTCCTCTTCAATGGCTGAGCGGAGTTGCTGGATATTGGCAGATCCTGGAACACGCTGTTGTATACGCCGATCCAGAGCATCCCAAACATGCTCAATGGGGGACATGTCCGGTGAGTATGCTGGCCATGCAAGAACTGGGATGTTTTCAGCTTCCTGGAATCGTGTACAAATCCTCCATCATGGGGCCGTGCGTTATCATGCTGCAACATGAGGTGATGGTCCTGGATGAATGGCACAACAATGGGCCTCAGGATCTCGTCACGGTTTCTCTGCGCATTCAGTATGCCATCAATAAAATGCACCTATGTTCGTTGTCCATAACATATGACTGCCCATACCATAACCCCACCGCCACCATGGGCCACTCGATCCACAACGCTGACATCAGCTAACCGCTCACCCACACGACGCCATACAGAGTCTGCCATCTGCCCTGCACAGGGAAAACCGGGATTTATCCGTGAAGAGAACAGCTCTCCAAAGCACCAGACGCCATCGAATGTGAGCATTTGCCGACTCAAGTCTGTTCCAACGACGAACTGCAGTAAGGTCGAGACCCGATGAGGACGACGAGCATGCAGATGAGCTTCCCTGAGACAGAAACTCTTTGGTTCTGCAGACCGAGTTTTGCAGCCGCTGTCCGGGTGGCTGGTCTCAGACGATCTTGTGTCCGGTGGCTGGTCTCAGACGATCTTGTGTCCGGGTGGCTGGTCTCTGACGATCTCGTGTCCGGGTGGCTGGTCTCAGACGATCTTGTGTCCGGGTGGCTGGTCTCAGACGATCTTGTGTCCGGGTGGCTGGTCTCTGACGATCTTGTGTCCGTGTGGCTGGTCTCTGACGATCCCGTGTCCGGGTGGCTGGTCTCAGACGATCTTGTGTCCGGGTGGCTGGTCTCAGACGATCTTGTGTCCGGGTGGCTGGTCTCAGACGATCTTGTGTCCAGGTGGCTGGTCTCAGACGATCCCGTGTCCAGGTGGCTGGTCTCAGACGATCTTGTGTCCGGGTGGCTGGTCTCAGACGATCTTGTGTCCGGGTGGCTGGTCTCTGACGATCCCGTGTCCGGGTGGCTGGTCTCAGACGATCTTGTGTCCGGGTGGCTGGTCTCAGACGATCTTGTGTCCAGGTGGCTGGTCTCAGACGATCTTGTGTCCGGGTGGCTGGTCTCAGACGATCTTGTGTCCAGGTGGCTGGTCTCAGACGATCTTGTGTCCGGGTGGCTGGTCTCTGACGATCTTGTGTCCGTGTGGCTGGTCTCTGACGATCCCGTGTCCGTGTGGCTGGTCTCTGACGATCCCGTGTCCGGGTGGCTGTTCTCAGACGATCTTGTGTCCGGGTGGCTGGTCTCAGACGATCCTGTGTCCGGGTGGCTGGTCTCAGACGATCCTGTGTCCGTGTGGCTGGTCTCTGACGATCCCGTGTCCGGGTGGCTGTTCTCAGACGATCTTGTGTCCGGGTGGCTGGTCTCAGACGATCTTGTGTCCGGATGGCTGGTCTCAGACGATCTTGTGTCCAGGTGGCTGGTCTCAGACGATCTTGTGTCCGGGTGGCTGGTCTCTGACGATCTTGTGTCCGGGTGGCTGGTCTCTGACGATCTTGTGTCCGTGTGGCTGGTCTCTGACGATCCCGTGTCCGGGTGGCTGGTCTCAGACGATCTTGTGTCCGGGTGGCTGGTCTCTGACGATCCTGTGTCCGTGTGGCTGGTCTCTGACGATCCCGTGTCCGGGTGGCTGTTCTCAGACGATCTTGTGTCCGGGTGGCTGGTCTCAGACGATCTTGTGTCCGGGTGGCTGGTCTCAGACGATCTTGTGTCCGTGTGGCTGGTCTCTGACAATCTTGTGTCCGTGTGGCTGGTTTCTGAAGATCCCGTGTCCGGGTGGCTGGTCTCAGACGATCTTGTGTCCGGGTGGCTGGTCTCAGACGATCTTGTGTCCAGGTGGCTGGTCTCAGACGATCTTGTGTCCGGGTGGCTGGTCTCAGACGATCTTGTGTCCGGGTGGCTGTTCTCAGACGATCTTGTGTCCGGGTGGCTGGTCTCAGACGATCTTGTGTCTGGGTGGCTGTTCTCTGACGATCCCGTGTCCGGGTGGCTGGTCTCAGACGATCTTGTGTCCGGGTGGCTGGTCTCAGACGATCTTGTGTCTGGGTGGCTGTTCTCAGACGATCTTGTGTCCGGGTGGCTAGTCTCAGACGATCTTGTGATCTTGTGTCCGGGTGGCTGTTCTCAGACGATCTTGTGTCCGGGTGGCTGGTCTCAGACGATCTTGTGTCCGGGTGGCTGGTCTCAGACGATCTTGTGTCCGGGTGGCTGGTCTCAGACGATCTTGTGATCTTGTGTCCGGGTGTCTGGTCTCAGACGATCTTGTGTCTGGGTGGCTGTTCTCAGACGATTTTGTGTCCGGGTGGCTGGTCTCAGACGATCTTGTGTCCGGGTGGCTGGTCTCAGACGATCTTGTGATCTTGTGTCCGGGTGGCTGGTCTCAGACGATCTTGTGTCCAGGTGGCTGGTCTCAGACGATCTTGTGTTCGGGTGGCTTGTCTCAGACGATCTCGTGTCCGGGTGGCTGGTCTCAGACGATCTTGTGTCCGGGTGGCTGGTCTCAGACGATCTTGTGTCCGGGTGGCTGGTCTCAGATGATCTTGTGTTTGGGTGGCTTGTCTCAGACGATCTCGTGTCCGGGTGGCTGGTCTCAGACGATCTTGTGTCCATGTGGCTGGTCTCAGACGATCTTGTGTCCGGGTGGCTGGTCTCAGACGATCTTGTGTCCGGGTGGCTGGTCTCAGACGATCTTGTGTCCGGGTGGCTGGTCTCTGACGATCTTGTGTCCGTGTGGCTGGTCTCTGACGATCCCGTGTCCGGGTGGCTGGTCTCAGACGATCTTGTGTCCGGGTGGCTGTTCTCAGACGATCTTGTGTCCGGGTGGCTGGTCTCTGACGATCTTGTGTCCGGGTGGCTGGTCTCTGACGATCCCGTGTCCGGGTGGCTGGTCTCAGACGATCTTGTGTCCGGGTGGCTGTTCTCAGACGATCTTGTGTCCGGGTGGCTGGTCTCAGACGATCTTGTGTCCGGGTGGCTGGTCTCAGACGATCTTGTGTCCGGGTGGCTGGTCTCAGACGATCTTCTGTCCGGGTGGCTGGTCTCAGACGATCTTGTGTCCGGGTGGCTGGTCTCAGACGATCTTGTGTCCGGGTGGCTGGTCTCAGACGATCTTGTGTCCGGGTGGCTGTTCTCAGACGATCTTGTGTCCGGGTGGCTGGTCTCAGACGATCTTGTGTCCGGGTGGCTGGTCTCAGACGATCTTGTAATCTTGTGTCCGGGTGGCTGGTCTCAGACGATCTCGTGTCCGGGTGGCTGGTCTCAGACGATCTTGTAATCTTGTGTCCGGGTGGCTGGTCTCAGACGATCTTGTGTCCAGATGGCTGGTCTCAGACGATCTTGTGTTCGGGTGGCTTGTCTCAGACGATCTCGTGTCCGGGTGGCTTGTCTCAGACGATCTTGTGTCCGGGTGGCTGGTCTCAGACGATCTTGTGTCCGGGTGGCTGGTCTCAGACGATCTTGTGTCCGGGTGGCTGGTCTCAGACGATCTTGTAATCTTGTGTCCGGGTGGCTGGTCTCAGACGATCTTGTGTCCGGGTGGCTGGTCTCAGACGATCTTGTAATCTTGTGTCCGGGTGGCTGGTCTCAGACGATCTTGTGTCCAGGTGGCTGGTCTCAGACGATCTTGTGTTCGGGTGGCTTGTCTCAGACGATCTCGTGTCCGGGTGGCTGGTCTCAGACGATCTTGTGTCCGGGTGGCTGGTCTCAGACGATCTTGTGTTCGGGTGGCTTGTCTCAGACGATCTCGTGTCCGGGTGGCTGGTCTCAGACGATCTTGTGTCCATGTGGCTGGTCTCAGACGATCTTGTGTCCGGGTGGCTGGTCTCAGACGATCTTGTGTCCGGGTGGCTGGTCTCAGACGATCTTGTGTCCGGGTGGCTGGTCTCTGACGATCTTGTGTCCGTGTGGCTGGTCTCTGACGATCCCGTGTCCGGGTGGCTGGTCTCAGACGATCTTGTGTCCGGGTGGCTGTTCTCAGACGATCTTGTGTCCGGGTGGCTGGTCTCTGACGATCTTGTGTCCGTGTGGCTGGTCTCTGACGATCCCGTGTCCGGGTGGCTGGTCTCAGACGATCTTGTGTCCGGGTGGCTGGTCTCAGACGATCTTGTGTTCGGGTGGCTTGTCTCAGACGATCTCGTGTCCGGGTGGCTGGTCTCAGACGATCTTGTGTCCATGTGGCTGGTCTCAGACGATCTTGTGTCCGGGTGGCTGGTCTCAGACGATCTTGTGTCCGGGTGGCTGGTCTCAGACGATCTTGTGTCCGGGTGGTAATCTTGTGTCCGGGTGGCTGGTCTCAGACGATCTTGTGTCCAGGTGGCTGGTCTCAGACGATCTTGTGTCCGGGTGGCTGGTCTCAGACGATCTTGGAGGGGAAGATGCTGATGTGGAGGTCCTGGGCTGGTGTGGTTACACGTGGTCTGCGGTTGTGAGGCCGGTTGGATGTACTGCCTAATTCTCTGAAATGCCTTTGGAGACGCTTATGGTGGAGAAATGAACATTCAATTTACGGGCAACAGCTCGCCACACCTGTGAGGGGGATGGATGATCTCGGCACAGGAGAAGTGCTCACTAACACAGATTTAGACAGATTTGTGAACAATATTTGAGAGAAATAGACCTTTTGTGTACATAGAAAAAGTCTTAGATCTTTAAGTTCAGCTCATGAAAAATGGGGGCAAAAACAAAAGTGTTGCGTTTATAATTTTGTTCAGTGTATACCAACATTAACATTGTGATTATCTGTGAAGCTGCTTTGAAACGATGTGAAAAGTGTATAAATAGATTTTACTTTACTTGAGAATCACAATTTCCCTCTATTTTCTTAGATTTTTTTACTTTTGGGTTTGTAATTCTCATTAGATTTTTATTTCGAAATTTAGAGAGCATATTGACGGGCAGGTGAAAGGTCATGTGATGGTGAATTATGAGGTTTTGATGAGTGTCTGTCTCTGTCCAGGCTTTGGAGGAGGCGGAGCTCCGGCTTCAGCAGGAGGTGGGGCTGTGGGAGGAGTCAGCAGAGGGGCGTGGCTCAGATGATGATGATGATGAAGAGGGCGTGTTTACAGTGAACGCTGACGCTGGAGTCTCGGTTCTCCTGCAGGAGGCGCTGTTCAAGAGACAGCAGCTGCAGCGCTTGACTGACAGGTGCCACTCACTCACACACACACACACACACACACACACTCATAAATACTCTAGTTTGTATAATAATAACAATATTTATGAATACTCAATGCATGCGTAAACTCAGAGCCGTTAGAAATTTGAATTTAAAATCTCTTCCAACGGCTCTGCTCTATGGTTAGTTCCGACCGTTCCGACTGATGATGCGGTGCACAATGACAGTTGGGTGATTTCGCTCTCCACTTCCTGTGAAGTGATGTATCGACGTTCCCATATTCCCTACGCCAGTCGCAGTGCCCTTCGAACTGAACATGTTCATTCCCTTAGGATTGGAATCTCAGTTAAGATGGCGAAATACCCTGTGAAGTCCACTTCGCAGTCCACTTACCTATAGTCTGATATAATGAGAATATGGAGGAAAAACTCAAAATGAGCAAAAATATGCAATTTGAAACAAATGCTGATATTTGGACAAAAAGTGATGCTTTTTAATTTTTTTATTACATTTTTTAAATTTTTAATTCTGATGCTTGTAATGAATATCAATGATATCTTTATAACAGTATAGCTGATACTTACATAAAATGCATTTAAACATCAATATCTGCCAATAATATGTCTTAGTAAGATGATATTTAAATGCTTAGTTTTATGAGCAAAGCTCTGTAGTTTTTAAACATAATGCAATGCAATACAAGGATGATTGACAGATGAACAAATAAACCTTCCTCAAAAGCCTGATGATCATATTTGATACTCATGATTTTTCTATAAAGTGTTGATGGATGATCTAGTAAACCTCCTTCAGTCCAGCTGAAGTTATTCTTGCACTTCCTTGATAAAGTCATGTCAGATTTGACAGCAGCTGAAGGAGGTTTGTACAGTTATACTGAGAGACTTTCACTGGATAAAAGAGTGTAAGCTGTCAGTCAGACACAGAAGCACTGCAGATCGACCGGCTCATCTCAGGCCTCTGCGTATCAAATATGATACAGTATCTTTATAGGTTAAACTAAAGCTTGTGTGAGTAACGTCCACATTACATGTGTTCACATTACTACTCTCATCTGGAGTGTGTGTGTGTGTGTGTGTGTGTGAGAGAGAGAGAGAGAGAGAGAGTGTGTGTGTGTGAGTGAGTGAGTCTAAATGAGAGTGAGTGTGTGAGAGTAAGTGTGTGTGTGTGTGAGAGTGAGTGAGTGTGAGTGACTGTGAGTGTGTGTGTGTGTGTGTGTGTGGCTGCGATCTGTCACTCATAGGTAAGAGTATCCGTCTGTAGAGAGGGTTTAAGATGTCGTAACTTTATTAATTATTCTAATAGTTCTGCACTTGATTGACAGGTGTCAGTCACTGCTGTCAGTGTTCACACTACTGGAGTCGCTTGCAGAAACTACTAAGGGGCTGTTTACACCTGGCCACTTCATGCGTTTTATAAGATCGGATAGCTATCTGATTTGTCAAAACGATTCCATTTACACCTGGTCACATAAATGTGTTTTTGCAAAACGGATATAAATCCGATCTTCAACTCCCGCGCTATATGCAGATTTAACGGAGTTCACGTCACCGAAAGCAACAGATATGAGCTGCATTTTATTGATCATCGGCTAATTTCAAAATCAAAGACAGCAATAAGAGAGAGCGGCAACAGCCCTGGTAAGATCATTTCGTTTCTTTACTTTTAATGAAGATGATTGTGTGTTAAGCGTCTGCGACTTACTTTCACTTTGATTTGCGATAGTTTGCACGTACGGCTGTGACTTGATGAATAGAGGCTCGAGCTGCTCATCTGCGGTAGTGTTGCAGTAGCGTCGTCATATCTGACTATAACATGACATATAGCCTATATAACACGCTCTCACACGTTTATTTTTGATCATTTTTGGGAGGAGTAAAATTTACATATGTGGTTTCAACAACCAGATGCATTACACTTGTCCAGTTTCATCTGTAATGCGGCCCAGAGCTCCTCCTGAAGTGGTGTGAGCGATCGGATTCAGATCCGTCTCGAGTGCGTTTCGGAGGGCATTTACACCTGGCCTTTTCACGATAGCTATCAGATCACAGAAACACATGAAGTGGCCAGGTGTAAACAGCCCCTTAGACTAGACTTACAAGTT